GATCCCTAATCTCGTAAGGAGACCTTAATATAGGCCTTCAGCCAACTACCCCAGGTGTAGGGATATCCTGTATACATAATTTAAGAACAAAATTTAGTCTTACAGACCTAATTCATTCTTTGCTCCTGCAATTATCAATCAATACTACCTTCACTGTTGACAGCAGCATGTAAAGCTGATGTAAAAGAAGAATCAGGCCCTTTCTGTTCTTCATTTTATCCTTATGAAGTATTATGCTGCACTTTATGCTTCTCATATTCCTCTTAACTGTAGTGTGCATACATATATTCCCGCTAGATACTGATAAGCATTGCCTACAGTCATCGTTCTCAGCTTGTCTACTATATCCACCTCCACAGAATGGCACTTACAGCAACTGCTTCTGTAATTTCTCTGCCTCCTTCTGTCTTTGGATGGAAAATGCACAACAGTCATAAATATAATTCATATCATATGTACGTGTCCAAAATTGGGAAAAGTCAGCTATTGCAAGTTCAAATTGATTCTGTCATCTAGAATCTAATTCATAATCTAATCGTCAGCTCTCCTTAAGGCTATTTCTGGAGTGGAAATTATAGTGGATGAAAAGAGAGAGAGTATTTTAATGCAATTTCATGACATAGATAACTATCATTGTTCTTTAAGCAGGACATTTACAGCTTAACCGTCACGTCTGTAAAACAGAGGGTGTGCTGGAAATTATGTAGGGAGTTAAGGATGCAATCCTCCCTCAGTCCCTGGCTGGGCCTTAAGGTGACTCTTCAGCCTCTCTAACCCCGTTACCCCCTTTTCCCTTACAAACAGTGAGTTAGAAACCAACAATCTGTAACTACCTCTTGTATATTGCTGTTACACCTAAAGTTGCTGTGCATCCAGACTTCACTAGCCATATCCCTTTTTACCCACCTAAATTTTGAGAACTTCCCAGAATCACAGGATGTTGGGGATTGGAAGGGACCTCAAAAGCTCATCCAGTCCAATCCCCCTGCCAGAGCAGGAACCTAAACGAAATTATACAGGAAGGCGTCCAGGCGGGTCTTGAATGTCTCCAGAGAAGGAGACTCCACACCCTCCCTGGGCAGCCTGTTCCAGGGCTCTGTCACCCTCACTGTAAAGAAGTTTCTTCTCAAGTTTAAGCGGAACCTCCTGTGTTCCAGCTCACACCCATTGCCCCTTGTCCTACCATTGGGCATCACTGAGAAGAGCCTGGCTCCATCCTCATGACATTCACCCTTAACATATGTATAAACATCAATTAGGTCACCCCTCAGTCTCCTCTACTCCAGTTTCTTACATTTGTCCAAAGATTTCCAGACATCTGACAAGAAAACTGCCAAGCTTCTGGGTATCACAGTTATTTCAAAAATACATTTGTAAGAATATTGTGCAATACACGTGCAGAGAATCAAACACTTCCTAGACTTAACTAGCACACTGTGCATGAGCTAAGTAGCGGCTGCGCGCACGCTTTGCACACACAACTGAAGAATGCAGAATGCCCTCTCATTCTGGTGCTTCCTGGAACCATCACATTTATTGTGTACACACCCAGCAGTAGAACTATTCAGGGACTGTATGCGTAGCATGGCTGGAAAATGTTGGATTTGCCATCTGTGTCTTACATGATCATGTGTTTCTCTCTGAGAAATATTGTATGTATAATATATTGAGAACGTCAATGTAAAGAGAAATGTAATGTAAAGAGAAATAATGTATTTCTCTCTGAGAAATACTGGTGGGAAATAGCATAGAATCATAAAAAATTAAGGCTGGAAGGTCAAGGTTCAAGAGATTATCCAGTCCACTCTGTTGTTCTCAGGCACAGGAGCTATATTCCTGTATTTGTTGAACTTGCTCCTAAGCACTCTCATAGGAACTGCACAGGTTCCCCCAGCAATTTGTGCCAGTCCTTCACTGCCATGTTAGACAGCTATTCCCAACATCTCCTTTGCATCTTCCAGGTTACTGCACCTCATTCTCTCCAGTATAAAATGTAAGACAGAATCATTCTGTCCTCTTTTCACTAGTTCTACCTATATTTGAGGCAGGCAACATATTCTGCTTAGTCTACTCTTCTTTAGATTAAACATGACCAGTTCATTCCAGGTGTCTTCATAAGCCTCAGGTAACTCCCAAGCCTTCAGACACTTCAATTATTCTCCTCCAGTTGGTCCAGATTTTTTCTGAAGTGTGTCATCTGGCAGTGGACATGGTGCCCCCCCCTGCAGTGGTCTTTCCAGTGCTTAGTAGAAAAGGAGATTCTTCACGATCACTGCAGACATCACTCCTGCTCACACAGCTTGGCATGGGAGTTGCCTTTTCTTCATTTTTGCAGCATCTCAGCATAGCTGCTGGCATGTTCAAACTGCTAAAATCATTTTGAATCCTAATCCTGTATTCCAACCTATCAAAAGTCCCTCCCATCATGTAATTGGCATGTAAATTTAGTAAGCATATTCCCTTCTCCATCATCCAGGTCGTTAAGAAAATCTTGAGCAGTGCAGAACGAGGACAGACTTCTGTGAAGCCCCATACATGCAGCCTTCCATTTCCACAGACAAGCTATCTATCCTCTTGGCTTTGTTTTCCAACTACTTTTGCATTTATTCCGCAGCAATTTCATCTAAACTCTGTTTCCCTGGGTTATAAAGAATGTCGCAAGAGGGAGTGTTGAGAGACTTGGAAAGTCAAACCACCTACTGCTTTTCCTCTGTCCACAAGGCCAATTACCCTGTCTTACAGGCAGATCAGATTGGTTTGACACAGTTTGTTCCTAACAATCCATGTTGTCTGTCGCTACCGTGTTTTCTTGCGGGTGCTTACAAATTGTTTGATTATTTTCTTCAGTACTTTTCCACGGGTTGAAGTTTAGTTGACTGGACTATAATTTTGCAGATCTTTCTTTTTAAAGATAGCTACTCCATTTGCTCCTCCATCCTCGCAGATAAGCACTAACACCTTTAAGGCTATTCCAGGTAGTGCAAAAGCACCTAACTCATCTAAATACAATACTTCTCGTCCCTCACCTAGGCTGACATCTTTAGTTTTGCCAGAGATTCCCTTGGATGACAGACCCCAAGCCCAAATGCCTGCCTGTTTCTGAGGGCTGTGGTCTGGAGTGATGTGGGTGTAGTGGATGGGCAGTCAGTCCATTTCTGCAGTGTTCAGAGGAGGCCAGTCCTCCCAGAGGATTGCTTCCCTAGGAGAAGATACTATAATAGTAGACGTTCTGGGTTGGGAGCTCTCTATAGACGAAATCTAACCCTTAGTGAATTTTTTTCAAAGATGCCCAGTGCTTCCATGAGTCTGAAATCTGAAAGCCTTTCAGTCAGCTTCTCAACTATTATCCCTTTGATAAAGTGCCAGTTTTCTTTCTTTAAATTGTGCTCGATCCAAAAAAAACTCCTCGAGGTAATAAAATGGTGTTGTTTATCGATCCCCGGGGAAGTCAGAATAGGCTAAAACTGGTCAGATAAAGCATTTTCATTATTATTAAAGGGTAACTCAAAGCTTCTTGCTTAATTTTGTGTTATATCATTCCATGTGGGAGGTAGAAAAAGGACTTGTAATTTTTTTTTCATTCTTAAACAGACCCATAACAGGAATAATGTCATTAAAATTGTTCATATGTATTCCACAAAAAAATGTCATCTTGAATGTGATCAGATACCTTTATCCACTATGCCATACAATTTGTTGTCTACTTAGCATCAGTCATTTCTATGTGTTCTGGGAGCATATTATATATAATTTGAGTATTGCTAATGAATTCAGCTCCTTTTCTGAAGTCATTTGTTCAGTTAAATATCAAAAGAGGAAAAACTCATACTCCTTAGAATTCAAGAAATAGGTTTAAATTACTAACTTCAAGCAAGGCCAAATAGGCCTTTATCTTTCCCCCTTTCTGAGAACGCAGATAACAGCTGTCACTTAAGAGTGAAGCCTTTTAGTACATTTTTGCAATCTCTTTGCTCAATATCAAGAATCAACATAAAATAAAGGTATTATAATAGCAGTCACCTGAGTGGAGCAGGACTATATTACTGTATTATTAGGCTCTGAAAGGGCTGTGCTGGACTACTAGAAGCCGGCAATTGAAAACTGTGAGGTCCATTGTGTGCCTTCCTTCTGCAGAGAGACAGCCCTTTGAATTTCCTGGGAGTTTTATGTAAAAATCAGTACCACTGAATGTTCCTAGTTTTCAGTCCCACCTGAAAGCTTATTATAGGCAGAAGGAATTAATGGTTCTTTCCTTTCCCCTAGTGAACAACCAAAGACTACACTGTTGTAAAATTTGTAAAAAAAAATAATAATAAAATTGTGAAGCCCAATTCATGTGTGACAGTGTATCATTTGCATCTACCATACTCACTAGACTTTTTACATATGTCTTACTTGCCACAGTCCTACTGTGAATGTGGCTTCGAAGTTTCACTGTGTGTTTTAGGCAAGGACAATTTATCAATTGAGAAATAAGATTTCAACATTTTGGTTTGTTTGCTAGATCTAATGTCATAAAAGAAATTATTCTTTTCTGTAGGGAAGGGTTTTCCCCCTAATTTATCTTGTCTTCCCCATTCCCACTCTTCTTGGCCCTGGTCCTGAAGTATGAAAGGACCTCTCTGAAACAACGCCAGTGTGTATGAGAATCCATGTAGGGAATAAAAGTCTGACTTCATGAGTCAGAAAACAGGTAAGGACATGTATTTATTAAATCAGAATGCTGTTGGGAATGTCATAGGTCTCTTATCTCCCATTTCAAACGAGTACTTAGCTTCTAATTAGATTAAGCATCTGATTAAACTGAGAAAAAATGGAAAGTCAGAATTCAAAGGAGCTGAGATTGCTCCTGCTGTAACACTGTTACCTGAAATAAGTTCATGGTATTTAATGCTCCTATGGGATTTGTTCCCCAGAAGTAGAAGGGTGAGATGGTGCATTGAAAGTTTCCTGTTACTGCTTCGTTTTCTAAATACCTATTTTTACATTTTAACATATAGCTCCATCAGCCCTCCCAGACGCAAGTGGGACAAGCAGCCTCACAACCCAATCTCCTGCATTTGGCTCACAGTCAAGCATCTATGTCTCAAAGCCCAGTGCGTCAGGCTTCTTCTTCTTCCTCCTCATCCTCCTCCTCTTCAGCTTTGAGTGTTGGCCAGTTAGTCAGCAGTAAGTATTGCTCCCTGGCTCTCCTTAATTCTCCCCTCTGTTTGTCCTCCTCAATGCTGAGTTTCCTGATCTGCTTTCCCTCCTTTTTTTTTTTTGTTTTCTTTTTCCTCATATAATAGATTGTATATTGCTAAGTAGAGTGACTCTTACTAGTAAGAACTGCTAAGCGCTGTCATGGATGGGGCTTAAGGTAAACATGCCTTGAGAAATTGTAATCCATGCTAAAAATGGTCATTAAAATTGTAGCAGCTGTTAATTGACTTTTGAGGACAATTCTTATAACTAAAATGTAGTTTATGTTCTTTGGAAATGAGGTTTTGAATCGGTCAATATAATGAATTATATTGCTCAGAATTTGGTGGGCAGAGAGATCCTCCTGCCTTTGGTTAGGCTGCTTGTTCGTTACTGTTTGTTTGCTTGCTTAGCGTAGCAGACTGTTTTACAAACCCTAACACTACACCAATCCAGAGCGAGAGACCTTTCTTGCCAGGAAAAGCTTTTACAGTTTAAACAAGAAAGAACTGTAACGTGGGAGAAGCACGCTGTGCTGAAATAACTGAGTTGGTGTTACGATGACCTCCTGAGCAGCCCTTTCTCCCCAATCACACAGTTCAGCATCTTCGCTGTTACCTTACGTCCTGGGGTTGGTTTTTGGGTTTTTTTTCAGCACTAACTCTGGTCTTTACATAGCAAAAAACAACAGGTTAGAAGTCTACATAAGAAGCATTAACAGTTTTTGCACATCTGCAACAATCTGAGTGTATTGGGTGACCTTGTTCAAAGAGAGTCCATGTACATATTTCAAGTAAACAAACACTATAGCTCACACCATATTGGTAATGTAAAATATATGACTGCTACAAGCTTATGAAGGGCTTGGAGAAACTGTCATGCAAGGGAAGATGTGAAAAAAAATCTTGGTTAGATTATTTCCGAGATTGTTGACATGGGGAAATTACTAGTAGAGCTATAGTGGTAAAATTATGCTGGTCTAACTCCCAGTGTGAATACTTTTATTCTGGAATAAAAATATCTGCATTGGTAGCTGTAAGTACATAAAATATATAGATACAGATATAATTATAGTGATATAAATATACTGCTATTGCTCTGTCAGTAAATTTTCTCACGTAGACAAGCTTGTAGGAAGGAGACAAATAAGAGACTTCATGTTAAAAATACATAAAGTTACCCCTTGTCTATGTGGGAAAATTGACTAAAATAGCTATTGTGGAATAAGTTACTTTTCAATGGCTGCTCCAGAATAGTCTCCCTTGTGGACATTCTTATTAAAAAAAATATTCTAGAATAACTATTGAGGGGTACTCTACCCCACAATATTTATTCCAGTCAATTTCCCCATGTGCATAAGCGCACTACACAATAACAGCAACATGGAAGAAGCCCTTTTAAGTTGAAGGGATAAATCCATCAAAAGTTAGGAGATGCTAGAAAAATAGTTACTTGTTCAACTGTTCAACTTGTTCAACTGCAGTTCCTCTTAGAACATGCATTGTGTGATAATGATAGACGTGATTAAAATCATGCAATCATGGTTATTTTCTCATCCTTCTTTCAGTGCATTCCCAATGGAATTGTTCTAGGGATGCATCAGAATTACTGATGCAAGAGGTGGGCTGTTGTCCCAGAGTTTGTTCCCTACCCGATTCACCCAATTGTTCCCCAGCTGGTGCAACATTGAGGTTGGGAGCTGTAGAAGGGTGAAGCATGGACTTGCTTCAGGCGGGAGATGTCTGAGCTGCTGAAGCTTTCCATCTGCCACATAATTCCAGTGCAATGGCAGACAAGTCTCTTAAAACAGATTTTTTTCGTAAGTGCTCCCTCAATATCCAGCTTGAGACTCTGGACTTTAATTTACAAAAGAAACTGGTACTCACAGTTACAATTTTAAGTGCACTTTCACTGTGGAAATATATAAAGAACCATTTAAAGACACAGTCTAAAAAATCATCTCCCACTTGACCTAGACTAGGTACCCAAAAATGCTTTTTCCCTTAATATCTGTCTACTTCTCTGTGAATGAGAAGGGGAAGAGCCTCATCTTGTAGAAACACAAGAAAATAAATTAAGATTTAAAAAACCAGAAGAGCTCAAGAGGGAATGAATAACTATGTCTTTGGTGAAGAGCTTTAATAGAGGTCTGGGGCCACACACTGAAGAAGTAAAAAGGCAATACATCAATCGGTTCCTCCAGAATGAAGTACAATTCCTCCTGTCCACTGGACAAGGCAGGGGTCTGGGGAAAAAGAACTGGCAATCCAGAGCTCTAAGAATACACTACGCTGCGTTGTGGGCTACTGTAACTCCAGGGTTTGGTACCTTCTGAAAGTTTATTTGTGAAACCCTAAGGATGTCCTTTCAGCTTCGTTTCTTGCTCAGATAAATTTCAAGGTTGTTACAAAAGCAGAATAGTAATGAAAGTCAGTCATATGGGGAGATAATGCTTATATTCATAGTTGGCAATAGGAGATCTTCTGTCAGTTGAATGGATGGAGAAGCTGATAGGTTGTGTTATCTTGTTGGTCCTGCTTTAAAAGGATTAAGACGCATTCTGTGCTCATGGATTTGTCTGAGAGCAGAGGAGTATGAGGCACAGGAATATTAATTTGGGAAGAGGGGAGATACACTAATGAACATAGACTTTCTACTTCTTTCTCTCAGGCCTGACTCCTTCCACCACTTGTCCTATTCCAGTCCCGTTACTTCCTCACACTATTCTCCACACAATCTCTTCTCCTCTTGCCTCTGTGCTTTTGTTACTCTTGCCTTCTCCTGACAGACCTGCCACTGCAGCCCATCATTCCTCAACTCCTCCTCCCATTTCAATTCCTCTCCAGCTCCCAGTCATTCTCCATCCCCAGACCATATCTGTGTCCCTTTTAACAACCTTTTTTTTTTTTTTTAGGTAATTTCTGTCTTCCTCTACCTTGTTTTATCACCAGTGCTGCCTCTTTTTCCCTGTTTTCTTTCCTCTACCAGCATGATTACTACTCTCTGCACAGTCAGACCCTCTCTTCCTCCACTCCAAACTCAAATCCCTGCTCCTTAATAGTCTTCAGGATTTTCTTGCTTTCCATCATTTATTTTTCTTCAGACTCAAGGTTAATTTTTGTCCTCTCTGCATTCAAATCATGCAGATGCCACTCCCACCCTCTCTGGAAACCATCAGAGAAGTTGTGGAATGATCACCAAGAAGAGAGGAAAGTCAGTCTCTGTTTTTACTGCCATCCTGGCCCAAAGCAGGCCAGAGCCACAACTATAGGAGGGGGAAGTTCTTCTCCTTCTACTTCAGCCTTAGGCTCAAGTATCCTCGGTACAGAGAAAATTTTAAAGAAAGCTCCACACATAGGTCTAGGAAATGTCTGCTGAGTAGGTGTGGGCTTTGGAGGCTCACCTGCTTGAACTTGTTGGAGACAGAATTTTAAGCCAATTCCTGACATAACCATTATCTCCCTGACACTTATCAAGACCATGTTTCAAGTTGTAGGAAAACTGAAACTCTTAAAGAAAAGGAGCTATTACATCTTTTTTTATCCCAGGCAGAACAATGTGTTTTATTAGCCTCGTTCTCAGAAGTAGTTGACCTGAAGTTTGTCTTCTAATGGCAAATGCCAGGCAAACTTAGCCATAGTCAATACCCTAATGCCAGGCAAACTTAGCCATAGTCAATACCCTAATGCCAGGCAAACTTAGCCATGGTCAATACCCTACCTGTGATAATGAATGGCACAGAGAAGATAGCTGAAGTGTTTCTCCCTTGCACAAAACAGAAGAAAACTCAATTAAATCCAGTGGGGAACTCAGAGTAAAGAAAATATTTTTCATACAGTCAGACTGAGGAAGGTGTTGTGCTTGGGAATTGATTCACTGGGACCCAGATCTTCAGAGCATTCCAAAGGGAGAAGCTCTTGATGGGGATCTGCTGTGAAAAAGCTTAATGATAATTACACATAAATAAAAAGTTCTGAATTTGTTTTAAATTTATGTTTCTGCCTTCACCCAGTCCTTAGCTATTCAAGACCAACATACTGAGTAGTGTGAGGGGAAAATCAATGAATTCCTGCCATTTACATAGCATTATCACACGGACAGAAGTCAAACAGTCATCTCAATGATCCTTGATGGCTGTCCAGCATGTTCTTGAGAACATGTAGCCAACCACAAACAGGAGCTAACACTGCACGCGTAAGCCCACTTAAGCTGTCATGTAAGTGACAATGTTCCAGGGCACAAGAGAGCTACCTGCTGGTTTCCAGTAATGTGGAAACAGCCTACAAGAAAGAAGAAGATGTGGTCAGTTCAGTAGTGCAAGATCAAACCACCTGTGTAATGAAACATGAAAAGACAAACAGGATCCTTTACAGCTTGTTGTTGTTGTTGTTGGTAATACCATCTTTTAGACAGACAGTCCTAACTGATCTTCACGAATTTGAAAATTGTTTAATGTGACTAAAAAACCCATTTGCTAACAACTGTGCCTGCACACAGGGAAATAAGAAGACAGAAAGTTCTACTCCTTTGCAGAATCCATTCAGTTTCTGGGAGCAGATCCCTGAAGGGCAGGAGCACCACTTCATCAAACCTCTGGCCCATAATTGAACAAAGCCTTCTTTGTGTCCCAGCTCCCACGCTGGCTAGCGGAGCTTTGTAGAACAAGCCTACAACTGAAATCTAGTGTCTGCCAAGTCCATTCAAAGTCTCCTCACCCCATTTAGTGGGGTGAGGCCTGCAATGGGCCAGTGGTCCTGAAAGAAAGCCGTAGGCACGAGGGCAGCAAGAAACAGCTTGTGACCTCCCGAACATCTCTTTGATTGCTTTACCCCTCCTGAGGCAGGAATATTGTTGTGTCCTTTTCCTCATTCGCTCCAAAGCTGCAGTCCAGTCCTCCAGCAGGGCCCCTGGAGTCAAGTACCTCGGTAGAGATATGCCTTATTCCACAAATTGTTGCCAACTAAAGTACATCTTATTCTACCTTATTCTGTTTATCAAATTGCCTAGAGCAACGTAACTTCAGTAAATAAATAATTTGTGGCCACCTCACATCAGTGAAGTGTACTCTAAAGTATTATGAGAAAGGGATCAGAATTGGGCTTTAATAACTTTAGTGTTCCATGTTCCTTGTTTTTATTCCTTTTACTTTCCATTGTAGTAATATTTATGATTTTACTTTTTTTTTCTTTAACATGTTTCCTAATTTTAAAAAGGTGCATTTCCTTCCTTTTTTTAATTGTCCCTTTATTTTTTTTATTTCCTACCCTTTTTTTTCCCCCCACCCTGGATTGGTGTGTTCTTTATAGCTTCCCCCTTTTATCTCATCCTCACTCCTTCATCCCTCACCAGCAACAAGTGCTAGTTCTTCTAAAGACAAGAAAATATGGTTGTTTACAAACAAAGGACATTTTAAAAAGCAGCTCTGCTTAAGCAAGGACTGCAAGATTAATCTCTATTCTTCCTGTCCCTTCTGTTTGATTTCTTCATATTGTCTCATCCTCTCTCTGTTCTCTTTTCTCTTCTTTGTTTTCTCTTTATTCAATTCTCCATCATTATTCCTCCTTTTTTCCATTTAATTTTCCTCTTCTCAGATACATCCCTCTTCTCATTTCTTTAACTTTTCCACCGTATGTTCTCTTTGTGGAAATCACTGTTTTCCCCTCATGCTCTGAGACTTGTATCAACATGAAGTTCCTTTCTTCCCTCCAAATTAATTTTACTGTCATCTGTTGTTATAAAATTTAAATGCCTCCCGCAAACAAATTATTATTCTCTCTTTCCCCTGAGCTCCAGTCCATTTTCCATTAACAATGTTTTGTCCTGCCTCTCTTATCCAATTTACCTTCCATTGGACTTCCTCTGCCAGCTATTTCTCCTCCTGTCTGACTGGGGAAATCATCCCCTGTAATCCCTCCCGTGGTAGAACTCTGCACAACAGAAATTT